TAAGTTGACTATCCTTAATCAGTGTTTGGAATAAGGTGCAAATCTCGATGAAACGAAGACAATCATAGGTTTTATCCTTGACAGGTTTGTAACAAACTCAATTAACTTTAGCTTTATTAAAAATTTTCAAGTAGTTATTTAAATGTTTTCATCTAATTGGTTGTAAGCTGTTGATGAATTAATTATCATAATTAATTAAGTGGACTATTTGAATGGTAACATTTACTCAAATTAACATGTACAAACTGCTTTCTATATTTACCTCAAATATATATCGAATAATATAAGATGTTTATGGTAATTATACACGTATAATAGTAAACGTACTACTGATATACTCTGAATGTTCATTACATTAAAAATAAAGTTTAAGCTTTTAAAATTAACATCAATATTATTGAACTGAAAATTTTTGTTCAGTTAAACCCTTTTTTTCATTAGTTTTACCTTAAAGGCACGTTAAAAATCCATTTACTTTTAGTGATTTCCCAAGTGAAAACTTGCATTAAAAATTGTATTATAATTAAAAACATTATGCAACATTAGAATTTATGTATAACACAACAAGATGTCAGGAAATGTTATCAAAGAAAATAGTATAAGTTAAGGTTAGAGTTTAGTAATCCCTAATGAATATTTAGTAGCTTTAGGGAATACAAAATGGTTACTTATTCTCACTTACTTACGCCTGTTACTCCTCGTGAAGGAGCATAGACCGCTAACCAACATTCACCATCCAACCCTGTCCAAAGCAATCCTTTCAGGCTCATTTCACTCATTATTCATCCTTTTCATATCTGCTTCTATTTCCCAAAGTAATGTTTTCCTTGGCCTTCCTCTTTTCCGCTTACCTCGTAATGCAGTTTGACAATTTGCGTAATGTATGTCCTATCCATTTCCATCGTCTTTTCATAATCTCCTCTTCAGCTGGGAGCTGGCTTGTTCTCGCCGGGCAATGGATGTTGAGTATCTTGCGTAGACAACTATTTATAAATCTTTGTACCTTCTTGATGGTGGTTGTTGTATTTCTCCAAGTTTCAGCTTCATACAGTAGAACTGCTTTGATGTTGGTATTGAAGATTCTCACTTTGATATTGATTGAAAGTTGTTTTGAGTTCCATATGTTCTTCAAATGTAGAAATGCGACCCTTGCTTTGCTAATCCTCGCCTTTACGACTGAATCTGAGCCTCCTTGTCCATCAATTATGCTTCCCAGATATGTGAAGGATTCTACATCTTCCAGAGTTTCGCCATCAAGAGTGATTGGATTGCTGTTCTTTGCTTTGAATTTGAGGACCTTGGTTTTCCATTTGTGTGTGCTGAGGCCTACTGATGCAGAGACTTCTGCTACACTGGCTGTCTTTGTCTGCATCTGTTCGTGTGTATGTGATAGGAGAGCTAGGTCATCTGAGAAGTTCAAATCGTCTAATTGGTTTTGAACTGTCCATTGTATTCCGCGTTTTCCCTCAGATGTCGAGGTCCTCATAATCCAGTTGACCACCAGAAGAAAAAGGAAGGGAGAGAGTAGACAGTCTTGTCTGACTCCGGTCCTTACTTGGAATGCATCTGTCAGCTGTCCTCCATGCACGACCTTGCACTGTAGTCCATCGTATGAGTTCCGGATAATATTGACAATCTCAGGAACTCCGTAGTGTCGAAGAAGTTTCCATAACGTCCTCGTATCTACACTGTCAAATGTCTTTTCATAATCAATGAAGTTGATGTACAGTGTTGAGTTCCACTCAACTGATTGTTCAGTGGTGATCCGTAATGTCGCTATTTGGTCTGTGCACGACCGGTTCTTACGGAATCCAGCTTGTTGATCTCGAAGTTGGGCGTCTACTGCATCTTTCATCCGGTTCAGCAACACTTTGTTACTTATTCTATTAAAATTTAATATGTTTATAACAAATTATGATAAGAAATGTGATGAATAAAAAGTGCATATTTGATAAGAGTGTCTTTTTTTGTTTTCTTCTCCTTAATTAACTATCATTAATTCTTTTTTCGATCAATAGGATTATTATAGAGAATATTAATATAATGTTCTATTGTAAGTATCATTACCAAGATTTAACTTGATGATTTCGAATGAATTAAAGATTTGGGTAGATTATTATAAATAATAATAATATATTTGCAAAAAAATTAGATTTTTTGATGTTTCCGTGACTCAGTGTAAGCCATTTCTTTAGAGAATAAACAGCTAAATAAAGATTAATCCAAATTTAAATAGTACAACGGATTAATTTTGATTTGATTATTTATTCTCTGAAGAAGTGGCTTACACTAAGTCACGAAACATCAAAAAATCTAATTTTTCTATTCATTTAGATATTACAATTATATTAATTTATTTATAATGTTCTATTGATAGAAAATTGAATATATATCATCAAAATATTTTCAATGATCACACTATACCATCTAAAATTTGTATTTCCTAAGATTATTATTATTTTTTTGGGTAATTCATACTGACAATTATATGAATGAAGATAATTAATTAAAAACATTAATACCGACAATATTATGTATATAATCTATACAAATATTAAATAAATACTTAGTCCTTATTGATGAATACAATGTAAACACTAATAACACCAACAATAACAAACAATAACATTTATCATTATTTGACCTAATTCTATCATATTGACAATTCTATCAGTAATACATATTATGACATAAATTGAATTGTTTTTATTCATTATTAGTTTTATAATTATAATTTATTTTTTTTATTTATAGATTTTATTGGAATCAAATCAAAAACTATTTGTGTAATATAGAGAATATGCAAATTATAGTTATTTTAGACAATTATGCCAAATTCAATAAACAATGAGAAGCTATTGAATGAATAATGTAGTCATATTATGAAACAATCAAAATAAACAAAACAATATGAATTTGTTCAAGATGTATTCATGACTAAGTTTATTAGAAAGAAAAAAAAATAGTTTAGTCTATTTGTAAAGTATCATTTTCTATTACATAAGAAATAACCAATTAATAATAAAAAAAAATGATTTTAGATAGTTCTATTAAAATTTGAATGGGATAATGTGTCTAGACCACTTTTGTTTTCTTGCTAATTTATATTGTATTCAGTATGTGATAGATAGTTTCATTTCATAGAGAATGTTCATTACATTAAATGTTATGAATGGTATTCATAAGTTAAACATGCCAATGTTTCCTTTAGTCTTTTACAAATAGAATTTTTACAGATAAGAATGTTTATTTTATATCAAATTTGGTTTGTTAATTAATTTATTGTTCACTAAGAAGTTCCACTTGACTGTTCATCTTTGTAGGTATTTCTAACCAGTTAAGGAAAATTTACAAAAATAACGGTATATGACATATACTGTTTTAATAATAATTTCTATGGTTTTGTAGTAACCCCATTCAACTACTGTATTATTTCTCTGTTTACTGTAATTTAGATACTTGATCCATCGTGTAATTTTTTGTGTAAGTCTGATTGAGCACATGTCAATTTTTAATCTATTCTCTCATTGGTTGTTGTACACAGACAATCAATAATTTATCCATACTTCAATAACACCCAAATATATATATATATATATATATATATATATATATATATATATATATATATATATATATATGGATTTTTAACACTCACACACACACACACTCTTGGTTTCACTGTAAGCTTACTTCCTGTACACTTGCGGATTATACCAATCTTTAACAATAAACTATTTCTATAACTGGTGTTCAGGCTTTTGAATAATCTTGAGTAATTAAAATGCAATACATTGCCAGTCTAAAAGATCCCATATTTAATCTAATGAGAATATAATAATTAGTTTTTTTAAAATGGATTAATGTAAAAGGAGGAAGATCAATATTTCATTTGTTACTATAAACTGTTAATTACAATTACAGAAAATTAATTTTGGTGGAGAACAAAACTCCACCAAAATCATCCACCTGAGCTACAAATCTTCTCCACCATCTCAGAAAATTAATTATTATCTTAAATAGTGGAGAAGATTTATAGGTCAGATGAATGATTTCGATGAAGTATTATTCTCTCCAGCTGGAGAGAAAGCAAACAAAATAAACAATTTGTTAGTAAGATGAAAAATTCATTTATTCTTTTAATACATAAATTAGTAAATAATTGGTGTTACTGACTATAAAATAGATTATTGTGTTGTTAAGCAAGTATATTGATAAATAATGCAAATAAAATATACATAAACAGCATTTGTAGGAAGTTACTCTATGATTAAAATTTATGAAAAAAATTATGTTTATTAAACATTCAACAATTAAGTTACATATAATCAGAGAGGCAAGATTATAATTTATAAATGAACCAATCAGATTTAGAATAAAAGGTCTTGGATTTTGGCACGAAATTCATTCACTCTTTCGTTCAAATAGTGTTCTAGATGAAAACCATAAATCTAAATCTTAACCTTTATCATCAACTGTAAATCATTGTATTCATTCTTCAAACTGCTTTATAAATTTCATTTAGCTCTATTAAGTAGGTAGACACTTTCAAGGTCAGTTTTGTGTCAAAGGTCGTTCATGAATTATAATCTCATCTTCAGAGAAAGGTTTTGTGGAGATTGTAGTAATTTAATAACTGAATTTTTTAGTCAATTGAAGCTAGACCACTACGGAAAATCTGGTAGCACATAAGACAATAATGAACGGTAGAGCGATTTCGTGGATTGGTTGTAGTTTGATATTAACATCATTGGATACCGGCTCAATGGTCTAAAGGTTAAGCGTTCACGCACGCACGACCGATAGGTCCTGGGTTTGAATCTTGAGAAGCGGGATCGTGGATGTGAATTGCTGAGAAGTCCCATACTAAGACGAAACGGTCGTCCAGTGCTTCCAGGTTTTCCATGATAATCTAGCTTTAATTGATTCATGATTTCAACTTGTGAAAGTATATTAAAATAATTTGCAAATAAATATATTTATAATCAAAATGAACTCACTGAATTCTTTTATAATTTCATTTGTAATAAATAATAAAAAGAAATATTCAATGTATCATTAGAAATACAAATCCATTACTATTATTATTATGGCTAATATAGTGTATTAATGATGCATTAGATCATTTACATGTATGAATAGTGAATATGGAATAACAATGTTGAACGTTTTATTAAATTTACATAATAATAATAATAAATTTATCAAATATAATTGGTAATGTACAATGTTTGTATAAATAGATTACATTAGTAAGATGTTTTATTATTATTGGTACAAATTATTTAGTACAAAAATGTATGCTACTGGTTAGATATTATCTTATTTCATGATTGGACAATCATGCCTATATATATATGGAGAGAGAGAGAAAGAGAAAGATGTAAATAAGCGAAAGTGATTAGAGACAGTATATTTGTTGGCATTTTACTCTAAATTCTGTAAACCAATCATCAATTCATGATCATACAGAAATTTTATATTCATTTAAAAAAATATCCATAAATTTATTTCGATTTAGTTCTTACTTAATTAAATAGTCAGATTTCAAAATTTAGATTATCTTATCAATATTATTAATGTTTTATATGTAAACATTGATAACTGATTTATCATTTACATTATATGAGATTACTTTGTGACCTTTAATGAACACTGTTATATGCCGACTCAGTGGCCTATAGGTTAAGAGTTTGCATGCGAGATCGTATGTGTGAGTTGCTGAGGAGTTCCATACTAGGACGAGACAGTTGTCCAGTACTTCCAGGTTTAACATCGATCCGTTCATGATATCAATCTAAATAAAGAAATATTTGAAATGCTTCTAGTTGTGCTTCAAACCGTATAAAGTATACAAATCCTTTTAAAAATGACATCAAGATAATCCTATACTTATCACTAAACATTTAACTTAAATTTTAAGCAAATCAAATATATACACTGTTATGGTGGATATATTTTAGATAGATATGATTTTTGTGTAGTTTATACAAGGTACAATTTAACCCAATATTTTACTATCATCTAGACGAAATGATATTTCACAGATTGAAATCATGAGTCAATTGAAGCTAGACCATCATGGAAAATCTGGAAGCACTGGAATGGGACTCCTCAGCAATGCACATCCACGACCCCGCGCCTAGCGGGATTTGAACTCAGGACCTACTAGTTTCTCGTGCAAGCACTTAACCAAGTAGACCACTGAGCCGGCATCCAACGGTGTTAATGTCCAACTTCAACCAATTCACGAAGTTGCGCTACTGTAAACCATTGTCTTCAGTGAGCTGATATCTCACAACAGACCTGGTTGTACTCCACTGGTAACGGCCTCTCACTAGAACTCCAGGAGTATCTCTTGAAGTTAGTCACTAGTGAGCAGATAATTATTATCAGAAGGGATTGTGTGGAGTTTTCTAAAATCTCCACAAATCCCTTCTGGAAATGATATTTCCTTATATTTTCATTTGTCTAGTATTTATTCATAACTATTCTAGTTACGTAAATTCATTTCCGATCAAATATATATGTTTATAAATGTTTCATTATATGTTCTAGATTTCGTTTCACTCTAAAATGAAAACATTAAACATTGAGCATAATAAGTAACAACTCTACTATTTTGAAATGTTAGTTTATTAATGTGAATTTTCGGACAAATCATTTACCATATGCCATGATATTGTTATATTATTGTTTTATACTATCTTCTATTTATATGAATTATCATATGATTTTTATATTCCTCCATTGTTTTAACATTCATCATGACAATAACATCAATCACATACATGTATGTTTAACTGTATTCAATTTAACCACAACAATTACAATCATTTTGAGCTATTCATTGATATTGTATGTGCATTATGAGATTTGAACTATGTGAACTAATCGACCTACCACTTAACAAAATCTAAAATCCTACGGATACACATTATCGTATTCAGGGATAAATGTACTATTTTTAAAAAAAATATAATTTATCAAAACTGATCATTATTTTGTTCATAAATGGTTAAAACAATCAGGGTTCATTATTAAATTGTTTATAAAGTATTGTAAATGTTTTACTACTATCGTTTGTAATCATATTACAGTAGTTAATTCTAAGTTTTGAAGTCACCATAATTTGTTTTTATTTTAACAAAGATCAGATAGTTGTGGTTCATGACGACTTAGAGCTCTGATGCATGTATATAATACATTAATACACCTAAAAATGATGTGAAATATATATGAAAACACCCTCTTAAACGCCTACAATGCGTTTGTAATACACATGAAATATGGTATTTAGATGGTGGTTGGAGGTAGTCAACAGGAAACCCTGGACCCGGGTTTCGTGTTACTTGGTACTCATCAGCAAGGTGTACCTGTAATCTTGAGGGACCTGGTGCTCCCTGGCGGATTCGATCTCGTGTCACCCAGCTTCACAGTCAGAGACGTTACCACTGAGCTATCCGAGCTGTGACTAACCTCCTGTAGGACTGAGATGTAATCACAATTGATTGATCACTGGGTGGTGATCAATGTCATGCTTGTCCAGTCCTCATTAGTGCAGATCCAATGCTATCGATCATGTTGCAATGTGGCCACCAGTCTAGGTGACTGGACACTGAGGGCACTATGTATTGAGATTTAGATGGTGGTGGCCACATTGCAACATGATCGATAGCATTCGATCTGCACTAATAAGGACTAGACAAGCATGACATTGATCACCACCCAGTGATCAATCAATTGTGATCATATGAAATACAGGTATATAATAGAATAGATAAATAGGAACGTAACATCAATCTTTATCATAACTAATTTAAGAAATAATAATGGTTTATATTGATAAATCGGTCAAGTTATCAATTCCATACCTTTGCACTTCATTTTTAAATCCATTTTCCGGTTACATTAATCGATATCATACACATTTTAATATATAACGTTTAATCTTTCACATTATATCGAATTACATTATCACATACTATATTGTAATGTTTTTTTTTATTTACATATCTACCATAGTGTAACATTCACTTTACCCTTGTTCGACATTTTGATAACCTAAAAAAAATTATTGATTTATTTGAAATAACCTTTAGGATTGATATGATCAATTAACGAAACAAGATTATCATGATAGTTGGCATAACATTAAACACAACTATCGTTTAAATACAATCCCTTTATTATTGAACGAATTGTTTCAAACTTTTATAATTCACTGATCCGTGTAACTATCGTTCAATATTAATTATTATTTTAGTAATGATAATATCGTTTATTATTATTTTTTAAAGATGAAAATAAAAGCCAATAATTTGTGCAGTGATTACCTTTACAATAACATCAAGTTGTAATTATCATATTATTACTAATTCAGATTTACGTTCACATGTGATTATAACTATGGATACGTGGCATTAAAGCGATTGTCCTTCTTTCTATTTAAACCTTAGAATAAATTTTGATGATATATCCATAAGCACTAAAAATCAAGTTTAGTTCAAGTGTTATTAAAATATATATCCGAAATCTGAAGAAATGGTACCGACAACATGCGATTTGTCCCGTTTAAGACTTCTTAGTTAGGTAGACCTAGGTTGCAGAGTTAATGTACACTCCGGAACTCGAACTTAGTAACGTTCGATTCAAATACCATCGCGCTATCAACTTAACTACTGAATTTAGATAAACACTCACTTGTGCAACGGGTGTGAAATTGTATACAATTTCAAGTAAATCGGATTATCCCGTTTTTGATATTTCGACAGGAATCGGATTAGCCTTGTTGACATCTAGGCATCTAGTATGGATCGCCTGGTGATAAACAATATGACAAGAATTAATGTAGAATAGATGGAATGCAGCTAGCAGGAGAACTCTAGACTGAACATCAACAATGGACTGCATGTACATCTAACTGATGGGTTCTAAATAGAACAAAATGCCCATGTTGGTTTCCACTGTTAGCCACATTTCATTTCTTCTATATCAATTCATGTCGTAATGTCGTGTTTTAACTGATGAGATATCGACCTCAATAATCACCTCTGAAAGTAACATGTCAGTCTACTTAACTACCGAATAAAATATGAAAACAGAATTAAATGAGAATATCGACTGTTACACTTCTATCATCAGAACAATATTATTGAATAATTTATATATTTGCACAAAGTTTCAACAACTGTTGGTCAATATCACATTTTATATTTTGACTAAGATTGATGTCATATTTAGAGCATTTTAACTTGTAAATCACTCTTTGTCAAATAACTGATGCCAAAACTTTTGATAGAACATCTCAGTACAAAAAGAACATACGATATTAGAAAATAAATGAATGATTTTCATTATTATCAATGATGATATAATATATCTCTGCTCAGCGAACTTTGTAAATGAACTAATAAAATGATATTGGAAGCATTTATCATCATGACATAACTAACTTTTTTATCTTAAATGAATGAATTCGGATATAAATAGTTTTGTGAAAGAAAAATGAATCTATGGGTAAATAACAGCATCGTGAATATAGTTACTTGAATATAGAAATTATGAGTGCTCGTTATATGTATATTAATACCACAAATAAACATGTTTGCCACATTATTTTTGTATTGTGTATCTTCAACAGACGAAATCGTTATCAAAGAAGTCCACCTTCTTGGATCATTCATTATGTTCTGCAACGTGCAGTTGTAGAATCAAGTTCCACATATACTTAGCAAAATGAGTACATAACTCGTCTAACTTAAAAGTGTACTTAGAAAGTTAACCAAGAAACCTTTCTATTTTATTATTCTATACCCGTGATTTTCTTGTGTACAAAAAAAGATAACATAAGACTAAGATTTTGAATACACAATTCGTCATCAAAAGTATTTTGCTAGATAAACAAAAAATAATGTTTAAAATGCTTTCTGTCTATTAATAATTCTATTATATCACTAAGAGATGGTAGAAAAGATTTGTAGCTCAGGTGGATGATTTTGATCGAGTTTTGTTCTCTGAGTTGGATAGTTTGATCGACTAAACCAAAAATCATATCATTAAACCTAATGATTCATAAAATTAAAAACTGATAAGTTGGGTTACGTAATAATTGAATAGAATTTGAAGAGTTCATATAATATAAGAAAATCAAATATGTGGAAATGTGTGTGATGCGGT